TCTCTATTTATGCATCTTGAACTCTATTCCTTTCTAATAATAGTTAAGGTGTGCATCTATGCTGTTTAAATAAAAAACCCATAAAGATTGTGAAAAGTTTTAATTCAGATATTAACATTATTAATTTATTTTTAGATGATAAAATTTTATAGCTGCAACTAATAATAAAGAGAAAGTGTGACTTGATGCTCCATTACACGAATAAAGAATTGCATTTTTTAAACTGAAAGACAAAATTAGTTGGTGATTAAGTGTTATATTTTTTGTGAGAATGACTGGCTGAAAATCACCTGGTTGCTTCATGCCTTGAACTGCACTAGAACTTTCACTCTCCCAGTTTCTAATCTGATGCCTTAATCACTACATCCAATTGACTCTTGTAAACACATTAAACACATTATTAAATTGCAATTACTAACAGTATTAAGTAGAATGTCTTAATAGTATTAAGCCAGATGTATGTTGTATGAATAAGTGTAAATTCTGATTGTAAGTATATGTGAAACTGTTTATCTGTTTGTATGTGTGTCTATGTCTGTTGTGTTCAGGGAGTAAAATACTGTTACCACTCAAGTGGCTGGAAAAATAGTGAAATAATGTATCAAAGCATTTTTTAAAAATATCAGAGGAAAAAAGAAGAGAGCGTTAGAAGGAAAATAGTAATTAATGTTCACTACGGTTATGTCTCAAACCAGCAACCTTCTTTTTACAAAGCAAGAGTTAGAGTAACAGTGTAGTTGCAAAGAGTAAAATGGAATCTAAAAGGAATTAGAGCTGCTAATAAGATTGGCTCAGTTGAAAGGACATTTCTTCTTCTGTAAAGCAGCCAATGAATTACTGGAGCTAGCCTGTAATTAAATAGAATTTTTCCAGCTGAAATGGAAGGAGGTTTGTGATGGGAGGAAAGTGCTTTAAAGGGTGATAGGTGTGATGTCTTCAGGAAAAAATGTTTGCTATCCCATTCTGGTGATTGGCCAACTAAGCAGTGAGATCCCCTATAGCTTCTTTAGAACAAATGTAAAAATATCAGGAGAAGTGAAATAGCTCTATTTGACATAACTTAAAGAGGGAGTAGAGAAATTCATTTACTGGATAGGTAGAGAGTATTACCAAAAATCTGCAGTTTAGAAGTCTCTTGCATAGTTTTCAGAAGAGTTAGTGTTCAGCTATGTTGAAATATCTTTGAATAAAGCTTCTGTGATCACACCTTATGATAAGAAAAGAATTGACCTGTGTATGATTTGTTTCATTTAGGTTTAGAATTTTAGATAATGAAACAAAGAACAAAACAGTAGTGAGGACCATCTTACAGATAATCTAATCTTAAATGTATTTGTTAATTTAAACAAAACAATACTTTCTTTGTACTTTTTGTACTCACACTGAGTTAATTATGGCTAGAATTAAATTGAAAAGTCAGCAAAAACCCCTAAGGGCATCAATACCAAGGAAGAGAAGTTAACTGCTAAAAGGGAGGAAAAAGAGGGAACATATTATCAGGAGAAAAGGTTAAAAGAATGCTCAAAGTTTAAAGTCTTAAGTCAGAAAAATGTAATAAAGAATTTCAGCAATAAAGTATTTTAAGGTCAGCCAAATACAGCTATATTCAGGGACAAATCCATATATTTAAATTTGAATCTGAGTTGAAGAATAACAGTGTAGTTACTAGAATGAAACACAATGGAATAATAACAGTATTTGATGGATTGTGGTATGTGGATTCTATTCAAATATTCTGAGTAATGATAGCTCCAGAATTAAGATACAGAGAAGTGGCTCCCTTGCAGGAACTGAAGTAGACAGGATAAGACAAGATTCATTTTAACTTTTGTTGTGAATATAAATTATGTATGGGGTAAAGATAAGGAAGCAAAGAAAGCTATAACTAGGAAGAACAAATTCTTATAAGCAACTTAGAGAACCATCTTTGACAACTGCAATACTTCCAGATACAATATCTTTTCAGCGTAGGAGCAAATGTATTTCTAACTGTACCAAGATTCAGTCGGAAATTTTAAGTCATCTTTTTATGTGTGTGTAGACTGAGAGTCTTCAAATTAGTCTTGATTCTTGGTGATAGCTGGACAGCTGTAATTCTCTTGGCAAGATTTTGGAAGTAGTTTACCATTGCCTACTTCCTAGCACTGAGAGTGAATGGCCCAAGGTTACCCAGCTGATTTTTGGCCTAAGGCAGGACTAGAAATCATGGCTTCCTGGTTTCTGGCCTAATATCCTGACCACTATACTAAACTTGCTCCTACTATTTTAATAAATTGGATAGCATGATTCCTTGATAGTTAAGGTCCTAACTCAGAACTCTTCAAATTTTAAATGCAAACAAAACAGATAGTGGATGGATCTTGTTGGATATTCAGTTTCCATTTTTATAGATCCTCTGGAGAATGCATTTGTTCATGATTATCCTGAAAGAGGCAGCCTGAGTTCAGCAACGAAACAGGTTTTATTATTATAAGGAAAAGGAGATTTATTTATAGAAAATACATTATATACATAGGTGAAGCCATATCTTTACCATTTCCTACCAGGAGGATAGTCCAAGAGTATATATTCCATGTGTTAACTTTAGCAAAAAGGCAGAAAAATGTTACCTTAGATTAATAATGTTTTAGCCAACGAGCTGGAATATTTATAAAGAGTATAGACAAGCAAAGGACTTAGTAAATCCATAATCCTCAGTCTGTAGCCCACTTCTTCCTTTTTTTTCAGTGGGTCACAAGGTTCTGAAAACTCAAGTGGCTATTGGATTCACATTTATAACAGGATCAACAGCCTCAGGTGGCATTGCGATTGTTTTCAGGTCAGCTTAAGTAAAGAAGCCTTATGGTAATTTAAAAGTGTTTTTGAAAAGTTAGGGAATGAAAGCAGTGGCAATGGGGAAAGGACCACATATTTGTTATGAAAGATATTAGATGTTATATTGGTTAATTTGTGGAAAAATCTGTGTGGTTGCTAAGACCCAACACCAATTTGATGGCAATCAATCAATCTTGATTTATAATTTGCCTAGTACTGACAGATTAACAAGTTAAATTTATAGGAACAAGATAATCACAGGCTTTTCATAACAGACAAATATATATTTATTTATTATAAATGTTTGTTATTTTTGTTGTAAGGAGGAACTGAGTCCTAGTGCTGTGCAGGATTTGGGATCCTAAGGTAAAAAAAAAAGTTTGTGTTTCACATAGTGCAAATGTTGTAGTTATCTGCAACTGCTGAAAGTAGCTGCACCATTCCTCAGGATTGTGTGACAGCCTTCCACAACTACCATATGATCCTGGGAAAGGACATATTTGATTTTAGGAATTGCAGGCAGGTACTCTAAAGCACCTTTTTTACCTTTGAATCTGAAGTGATGCATAGTTCTCTACTTATCAGAGATGTTCATATAGCATCTGGGAACTGTGTTCAATCACTAGATAACACTTGATGACACAAACTGAAACTTTCAGCTCACGTAGTTGAGACTGAATGAACAGAACTTGGCAAAAGGATAACTTTTTAGTTTAGTGTTCATGAAGGCATGCTTCCCATTCTCAAGGACTTCCAAGTGTCACTAAAAGAATAGAGACAGCATAATGATGAGAATTAGATTAGAAGAGGATCAATAGGCCTGACAATAAATGAAAGTAACACAGACATTATTGGACAGATGAGGAAAGATAAATTAAAGTGGACGGTGTATTCTGTAATGCTAGTGCTACATAAATGTAGGAACAAAAGAATTTAGAAAGAACACTAACTATTAGGAGGCATAACAGGGAAAAATAAATGGCAAATAAACATTAATATGATACTATGAAATGGGGAGAAACAAGTATGTGAAGTTTGGGATTTTTTTTTAATTTCCCAGTTTATATATCACATCTTGAAGCAAATATTTCTGCAAGGGGTCTAAGAATAAATACAAAAACATTTTCTTTTCATATATTTCTGGCCTGTGGGCTATACAAAGATCTAAAGACCTCAAATTTCAAACAAAATCCAATTTTTATTCTTTATGCAGTTGTGGTATCCTTGGAGAGTAGTTGAATGGCATGTTGGAAACTAAGTATAAAAAACTGTAAGAATTATGAGGAATATAGAAGTTTTTTTTAAAAAAAACTTGCTTTGTTTAAAACATTTATTAATATGGGAGAACTGCAAAATTTTTAGTACTCAGTATCTGTAACAAACCTATTGGATTCTTTTGGCAATGGAATCCCACAATAATTAGTGATGACATACTGTAGAAGTCAGACTACATTAACTGATTTGAATTTGTAGTATAAAAGTTGATATTTTGCTGGGAGTGCTGCTATCAAAATTAGGCATATATGTACTAAACAGATACAAGAAAATTCAGTAATGTATAGCTTGTACTTTGACATAATGAATTAAATAAAATAAATAAATGCGGTTAAAAATAGCTGCAATGCATATCATAATCACCTACCAGGAATTCTTTCATCACTTTTTGGAGGAACTGCAATAAAATTTGCAAATGAAGTAATTTGGGAAAGCAGCAAGTATTTCTTTCTTTTCATTTTTAATTCATTTCAGTTTCATTCGTTCTACAGAGCTGATGGTACACAGACATACCTACACAAAATACAGATAATTAAAAAGAGTTCAAACTAAGAATGCTAATTAAGACTACTTGAACACAGAATCCTGGGCATCAATTCCTTCCACTAAGTCATTCCATATTAGTGCTTGGTTGATGTATTAAATGCTTCCTTTGTTTGAAGCAGAAAAAACAAATTGAAACACAGATGTATGTGTATATATTCATCATCACTTTAATTACTAACATTCTAAGAACACAAATTAGGGAACATTCAAAAGTCTATGCTAGACACACATGGTTTTCATAATGGTGAGCCATGTAACTTGTAATTAATTCTATTGCAAATGTCAGTATAGTAGCATTGTACATCTAAACTGACCTGCTAAAATTAGTTACCTTTCAGCAACTCCTTTTATCATTTGTTTTTCAGCAACAGCGGCAACTTGACCTCTTGACTATAACCAACCCTGGTGAGTATGGAACAAGACTCAGTTCTCCTCCCCCACCATGTTTTCTTAAAGAGATGGTTGTCTGAAAGTGTCTCTTTATCCCTTCTCTGACATGCAAAATGAAAACTGTTCCCCAGAAAATCTTTAACATAATAACAACTGACAGCTATATTGTGCTTGGTAAAGCCCCGGGCAGTTACCCTTTCACAGAGCTGCTTCTTCAGACCTTTACTCTGTGAATTTGAGTGTTGATATTTCTATAAACCTCCCGGGGTTATCTTAGTGGTATGTCTGCAGGGTAGATATACTATAATTCACAAAGTATGTTCAACTATCACAGAAACACTCTGTTTAACTTTCTGTAGCAGTAACGTTAGATATTTACTAAAAATCAGAGGGAGCCTATATTACTTTTCCATTTTGTGGCAACGGAGAATTGATAGTATGATTTGGAAGATGCTTTAGGTTCACTGTGTTTTTAAAAAAAGGCTTCCAAAAGCCTTTAATATGATATGTGGCTTTTGATACATACTGCTTATTTAATATAGTGGAATCTAATCGTGCATCTAACTGTTCTGATGTAACTATTGGTTTTCTGGCAAGTGCTTTGAGAAGCAGTATGATTCTTATGGAGTCAAGGCAGGATGACTGTGATGGATGTATCTACAAAGAGCGGTGGTGGTATAATGGACTATAGAGAAGTGGAAGAACCACATTCCAAGGATGTGGAATAGACAAGAGATAACATAGCCTGAAGCTGAAATGGAGAATGAGAAAGAGATTTAGAACATCTACTTGTTAGAGCTCCCCAGTGTATAACTGTAAGGGTTACAGTGGTATAGGTTTAGTCTTGCTAAAGACTAAGATTCTATTTATATTGGGTGGACAGATGAAGAATTGAATTTTGACTGGATTGTTACATGTCATTTTTGGGCTGGGCATAACATCGTCTCTTGTGACCAAAGCAGTTAGTGTAAATGCAATGGTTTAACTTGTCCTTTTAGCTAAGGAAATGGATTTAAATATTGATACTGAAGTCAACATTGGTAGCCCTCAATTGGATACTAAGACCCAGAGATCTCTTTTTGGTGAGATCAAACATTTTTGCCAGATCACAACTATTTCTGAATTACTATTCAGTTTCAAGATGGATCGGATATCTGATGGGTTCTTTAATTCTCTTGATTGAGTTTGGCTTTATTTCAATTATTTTGAAATAACAGAACAGCCATTTTGTATGCGGGGAACTCACTGTGTGTTGGGATCTCAGAACAAAACACCGATGTTCTAAGAACTGTTTTCAAAAAAGAGAATATTTCCCTCCATTTTTGAGTAAATACTGGCAAATATAAAGAATAAGCAGCATTGTTTAAAGTTCTCTGGCTTTGTTGGGCTATTTTGGGTGGCTTGCAATCAGGCTTTGTATATATATGTGCAGAGATTTTGTTTTCCAGGCAAGTAAACCAAACAAAGGCTATCCCTCATGCTATTAACTTAGAATGGATGAGATGCCATCAGGATGGTGGAGGGAGGAGAAGGCAGCAGTTGAGTAAACACATGACTCAAGGCCCAAACAGTCCTTTTGGATTCTGTATTTCTCCTGGCAAGAGAAAGATAAGACTCTTTTCCCCACTACTGAGCTATGGTGCTCTCAACTCATGCTTGAGTCTGCAGAAAACAATAGCAAGATGTTGCTAAATTCTTTCTTGCCTCTATTCTTTCTTTCTGGTCAAAGTTACTTCCAGGGTGATGCGTGATAAAAAACAACAAATTTCATGTATCTTGAAACTACTCTTGGGAGTGGGGAAACACTACCTTAATGGTGGTATAGCTAAGAATGATTTAAAATGGTGATGAGATTAAGAATGTTGTGGAGACATGGCAATAAAAAAACGATGTTTCCAGGTCATGTCTAGGCCACAGTGAAGTGCAGGTGGAGAAAGGCCAAAAGGGCACTGCAACCAACTGTGACTGATGCATTACTGCTATAGGGGTTCTGCTGGTTGATTCCTGGCTGTCTACTTCAGGGAATTCTCCTTCCTCCCATCACTCCATTTGAATAGTCTTTTAGTTTATTTTAGGTTCACTTTGTCTCCTGTGGTTTGACTCTGGTTTGAACTCTAAACTGCCTGTGCTACATCCAGCTTTCAGGGAAGACCACTCTCTGTATTTTTCTGGAGCATTCACATGTTCTTTCTCTCTGCATGCATTTCTACTTTAAAAAGGTGCCATTTATGAATAAACTACTTATAAATTGAGATGATGTGGCTTGCTCAATCCCAAAACACAATGCCTTTTGTAGGAAGCTGTGGCATGTCCTTTTTATTGTGAAGAAGGGATCCTACCAGTTTGGGCATTTGCTTGATCATCTTATCTCTGTCTCAATTTCGGTAGCCCCTTCACTATCAGATCCTCTGCTTCTATCAAAATTCACAATGACTTCTTTGGTGACAACTGCAGAATCACTTACTCTTATTGAGGTTCTGGCATAGTTTCATCTGCTTCTGAAATACCTCAATTGATTTCTGGGATTCTATTTGGTTATCAAAGTATCATGTAATTTAGCTGCGTATGTGGTAGGATCAAGGACTCTATCTTTTGCAGCTCAACTTATAACCAATAAATATATCTTCATCGCTTCTACAATTTAGTTTGCTCCTTTATTTATTGGAACATAAGCTTGCTTCAGATCCAAGTACTGTAAAGTGTTTAACATTGGGTTTAGTAACTTTAATTCCATTTGAAATTGAAATCACATTGCTACTCTGTCTATAATAGGCAATCTGTTTTTACCAATAAGATGCAACCAAACTACTTTTCTCTAGTTTTTGGTAGTTGGGAAATGAGAAGCAGACTTTTTGTCATTTCCAACAGTGTTCTGTTTGTTTATTTTTTTTTCTTTTTATATACATTTATTTTCTGTGATATATGAAAGTGCTATATTTCTTCACAGTCTAAGGACTTTGAAACAATGAGAGGGCAGCAATTTTGTAGGAGATAAAAGAAAATATTCCATGACCTAAGGGCCGTTTTCTATTCATGTCTAAGGTCGCCAACACAAAAGAAAGTTTAATGCTTTTCTGGGAAGATTCCTATAATTACATCAGATATTCTTTTGTCTTGAAAATATCAACTTTAGCATGAGGTATAATTACACCCACTTCTCACCTGCAATTGAAATGGTTTTAGATCGCAACAGAAGGAACAGTTTTGGACTCACTAAAGAAACACTTCTATTTTATCCAGAAGCAATTGTTTTTGACTGAATTCCTCTCAGGATGGACAAAGAACACAGTGGTTACTGTAGAGAGCATAGAATTACTGTACATTGTCGCTTATGATTTGTTTGCTTCCTAATGTCATTGAATTCAATGTAGGTTCTTAGTTAGAAGCCCCGGAAATTACTTATTTTCTGGGGTTTCTTCCACAGGATCATGACCAAAAATTTAATTTTGAGGGTGAATTGTTTTTAAAAAAGAAATCTTGCAGCTTTATTCAGTTTATGATTATTTTTCTAGATAATCTTATTCAGGTTTATAAAAGAGTCTATGAATAGATTTTTACAATAATATATCTGTGACATTTTCAACATCTACTTTAAAAAAAAAGAACATAAAGTTATGAGATTGTCCTCATTAAGTCCTCACTTAATGATTAGTTGCTTAATGACTATTCAGTAACTAGGGATTTCAAAAAAGCTACTTATGACCTGTCGTCAAAGTCATGATTGTTACACACACACACACACACACACACACACACACACTCATGTGATTGCATTTTGGAATCTTGGCAACCACTGTAACCGGAAGTTACAGTGTGCCATGGTCACATGACTACAGTTTGCAGAAAACTGTTGGATATACTGGATTCACTTAATGAACACACAATTTGTTTAATAACCATGGTAATTCACAACTCTTGTAAAAACAATCATAAAATCAAATCAAGTCATGTGATGACCCAGTTAATGACTGCAATGACTTATAACCAAAATTCCAGGCTCAGTTGTGGTCGTAAGCTCAACCTATTTTATTAATTCATAGCTCAGAAATGCAGAACTCTCATCTGACTTTAATTCTGATTTAATTCTGATTCTGACTTGTTAAATTATGTAAAATTACAGAAATAGTTCATCTGCATTGCTCAATTAATTTTCAGTGGCTAGAAAATAATAAGCCAACCCTTTTAGAGTAAAATGAGATGGTATGAGGACTTTACCATTCTACTATATTGATTGAAGGTTACTTTGCCACTATAATATCATTGCTTTGGAAACTGCCATATAAAGTTAGATAACAAGAACAGCTTTAAATATGGTTTGAAGGGGAAAAAAGTAACTTTCATTCTTAACAATTCTCTGAAAAGCTATTCCCATTACTGTCTTGATTGTTCTGTCTGCTTTTTACTAATTGAAGCATGAAAATAATGTGAACTCAAAGTCATGGAGCTATAATATACCTATTAGTAAAAATGATACAGGGTAATAAAATGTGACAGAAAGTTGTTCTCTACTGAAACTCCTGCTCTAACTCTTCTTGATAATCCATGCTAATTAATACTGCATTGATTCTGATCAAAATATACGTCAAGGGATCCTGAATGGGTTGTCATACCATCTTGAATAATTACTGTTCATGTTTGTTGCTGAAAGCTATTGTATTTAAAAATGGACCCCTAAATACCTTTTTAACAAAGGCTGACTCCAATGAAGGGGAGAAAAAGGAGAATGCTCTGAGTAAGACAGCAAATAAATTAGGAGGATGTTGTGTTAATCTGTTTGAAAGGTGTAAAAAGCACTTCTGGAAATCATATTCTCGACTCAACCTATTGTCAGGAGAAGAGATTAGTTAACCAGAGGATGGTTAACATTGATTTTGTGTGTATTTACTCAGAAGCAGGTCCCACCAAGTAAAACAAGCCTTATGTTTCATTCTTAAATAAATACCCATAGGACTACTGCTTTAGTATTAATGAATCAATATTCACTGGCTGGGCTTATGGAATACACAATGCAGTCA